TGTGTGTGTGTGTGTGTGTGTGTGTGATGGTACCTCCTCCTCGGAAGAGACGGGCACGCAGGAGAGGTTGGGGACGTGCAGCTCCTCCGTGAACTGGCTAACTCTTCGGATCTCCAGCTCCCCGTTCTGCTCTGGCCGCAGCGACAAAAGATCCCGCAGCATCTCATTGTAGATCTCCAGGAAGTTGGCTGTGAACTGGTACTGGCGGGAGAAAAGGGGGGGGGAGAAGCGGGCTCAGAAAAAGAAGTGGGAGGGGAGCGGGCTCAGCCCGGCCCAGAAAACCCTGGGGTTCGTTTTCCGACTTTGCTGGCCGGGAGGGGGGGGGGGGGAGGATTTGGATGCCATTTACAAGAGACCCCCGTAAATCAGAGGGACCCCCCCCACACACACACACGCGCTTGCCCCTCACCTTCCACCCCTTGGCTTCCATCTCACGGGAGGCCGCAAAGATCTGTCGCACGGCCCGAGGGATCATGCCTGCCGTCTCGGGGCCCAGGTCATCGCGGCCCTCCATCGTGTACGTCTTGCCGCTGCCCGTTTGCCCGTAGGCGAAAATGCAGACGTGATACCCGTCCAAGGCAGACTGGCGGGGGGAGGAGGAGGAGAGAGCGTCCGGGAGGGTGAGTGCCTGGCCAAGGGTTGGGGGAGCCCCCCCACCCACCGCCCCCTCTGACCCCCCTCCCCACCTGAACAAGCAGGGAGATCTCCTCAAAGACGCTCTCCTGAGAGCTGGACGGGGGAAACACCCGGTCAAAGCTGAACTCGTAGCTGATGTCCTCCTTGCGCTCCCGGCCAATGTGGGACTGCGGGGGGGGGGAGGCAAAACAGGGGGCATGTTGTGAGAGATTGTCTCCCCCTGGGCAAAGCATTTCTCGAGAAACTCAGCTACTCATTCCTCCCCCCAAACACCACCCGCCTCCCTTCCAACGACATTCTCTATGCGGTGGGCCGTAGGTATCTACCCCACCCCCTCCGTGTGTGTGTGTTGGGGGGGGAGCAAATTTACCTCTTCTGCCCTGGAGAGCACAAGGCCCTTGTTGTTGTCGGCCGGGAAGCGCAGGTGGCTGGGGGGCTTCTGAGCCTGCCTCTCGCTGGCCAGCAAGGGCCGCACTCGGCAGAAGACGCGGATGTTCCCCTGGAAGGAGCAGAGCAAAAGGAAGGTGTGTTTTGTGTGTGTGTGTGTGTGGTAGTCAGGCAGCCCTTAGGGACAGAAGGAAAACCCCCTCCCCCAATGCACCCAGGCAGCTCCCTCCCTCCCCACCTTCAGCTCCTGCAGGGCGTTGTGCAGGCAGCGTCGCTCCATCTCGCCCACGTGCAGCTGCTCCTCCAGCAACGCCAGGCGGGCCGTCAGCGTCTCGTTCTGCTGCCGTTGCTCAGCCAGGCCCTCTTCGGCCACCAGCAGCTCCCCCTGGGCAGCCAGGAGGGTTAGGGTTAGGGTGTGCTGAGCCTCACCCCCCGCCCCCGAAAAGGGGAGGGGGGGAAACCTTCCCACCACCAGCCTCAGCCAGAGGGAGGGAAAGCGACCCAGCTGCGGGCAGAGCGGATGCTGGCAGAGCCAGGCAGAAAAGGGGCACAGACTCCGTCTTCAACCCCGTATCTGAAGCGACGAGCCGGCTTCCGTCCTTCCGCCCCTCAAAGCGCCAATCTGGGCCGCTTTGCAGCATTAACAAACGCCTGAAGCCGGCCAGCTGACCAGGCCAGAGGGAGGAGAGTAGCCTCTGCCGGTCTGGAACCCGCCACACACTGGATGGAAACATTCCTGCTTGGCCCAGAAAAGGCAATGACCAGCGACGAGGCTCAGGGGTGGCGAGAGGAGGAAGAAGAGGAGCACTGAGGGCCAGACGGGAAGCGGGTTCAGGAAAGGGCAGCCCTGCGTGCGGCGTCTGCCCCCGTGTCCTCCTATCCTCCCCCCCCCACCTGTCACTGCTTGCTAGCAAATGATTCAGTGAGTCCACAGCCCTTGAGCAAAACCTGGCCGCGTTGTGCTCCATAAAGCCAGAACAGCAAGCAAACAGAATTGCCCTCGATTCTGTTACCCGACGGAAGGACACAGACTGGGGCGCCTCTCCACCCTCTCGGGAGGCCCCGACTTTGCCACTTTGCACCGAGAGGGGAGAGAGAGAGAGGGCCGTCTCCTCGTGCCTCGCTGGGTGGCAAAGGGCAGCCGTGGGCAGCCAGCGAGGCGCCAGGAGTCGCCGAGAAGGCCCAGCCCGTCCTCTCTCACCTCTCGGACCCTCAGCCGGACGGCCAGCTCCCGGCTGCCCTCCGTGACCTCCTGGTTGACGGCCTCCAGCTGCCCGATCCTCTGGGCCTGGGCCCGGCACGTCTCCTCCAGCCGCTGCTCCTTCTCCAGCAGCTCCGACACTTTCTGGCCGCTCTCCCTGGCCTGGTCTCGGCAGGCCTGCAGCTCCGAAGCCAGCAGGCTGCAAAAGACCATGGGGGGGGGGGGTTAGCAGCAGCGGCCGGGCAAGGCCCCTTCAAAGCCCCTCGTCCGCCTCCTCCTCCTCCTCCTCTTCCTCCTCCTCACCTGGCCCGGCCGCCGAGCTCCCCATTCCGGGCGGTCGCCTCCTTCAGCTCCTGCTGCAGCCCCCCCAGCTGGCTCTTCAGGGCCTCGTTCTCCCCCAGCAGCCCCTGGATCCTCTCCTTGTAGGCGCCCACCTTGGCCTGCAGGTCGCCCACCTGCCCCTTCAGGTCCCAGGGGGCTCGCTTCTTCTCCCGCCCCACGGCTGGAGGGGCGGCCGGGGGGCCTGGGCAGAGGGAGAAAGCCGGGGTGAGGAGGAGGAGGAGGGGGCTCAAGGGTCCCCCCCCAGGAGGGAAGCGGAGGAGGGGGCTGGGGGGGCTGTCCTACCTTGTCTGGGAGGCGCTGCAGGAACCGTCCGGCTGTTGAGCCCTGCAAAGGGGGAGGGGGGAGGGGGAGGGGGAGAGCGCAGGGTGAGACCCTCCAAGGGGGTCCCGGGGGAATCTCCCACCCCCCCTCCGGCCCCCCCCGCCCGAAAGCCCCACCTGCTGCCGGGAGGGCGGCGATGGTGGCCCTGGCCGAGGACCGGCGTCGTCCTGCGGAGAGAGAGAGAGAGAGAGACCCGTTCAGGGGCCGGAATCCAGCGATCCCCTCCCCCCCCTTTGGCCCTCCCCCCCCCTCCCTTCCCTTCCCCCTCCCGGGGGCTGCTTACCGGTTTCATCTGGGGCGGGAGGGGGAGGGGGGGCTGCTGCTTACC